ATTGAGTAGGAGTGAAATTTGAAAGAGAGAAATGTAAAGTCTTAACACTTGGGCTCCAAAAATCAGCTTCACAAATACAAGATTAAGGAGGCATGACTGGATCTCAGGGTTCGAGCGTACTGCAAGCTCAAAATTAGTGTGGTCAGCAGTGTGATGAAAGCTAATACAACCTTCAGCTGCATTAAGAGAGCTGTTTGTTGTTCAAGCTGTGTCTGGCTCTTCAAGAGCCCCTCTAGGGTTTTCTTGGCAAAGATAACTGGAATGGTTTGCCATTTCCTTCTCCGGCTCATGTTACAGATGAGGCAACTGAAGCAAACAAGGTTAGGTGACTCACCCAGGGTCACCCAGTTAGTAAGTATCTGAGGCTGAATTTGAACTCAGGAAGATGAGTCCTCCTGAATCCAGGCCCAGTGCTCTATCCACCATGCTACCTAGATGCCCAATAGAGATGTATAGGATCCAGAATAAAGGAGGCAATAGTTCTGTGAGGTATGGCTTGGTCGGTTGGAGTATTGTGTTGAGTTCTGGGCAATATAGTTTAGGAAAGACATTGATAAACTAGAGTGCACCCAGAGAAAGGCAACATGGATGATTAAGGTCTTGGAGTTCGTGCCATATAAGAATCAGTTGAAAGATATGGCAGTATTTGGCCTGAAGAAAAGAAGACGGAAAGAATTAATAATTGAGTTTTTTGTTTTGTTTTGTTTTTTTATAAGCATGTGAAGACTTGTCACATGGAAGAGATTAGACTTTTTCTTCTTTGGGGAAATGTGTTCCACATTCCAAACAACCAACTTACAAACATTTGGGAAATAATCTAATTATGAGTAGGGAACTGTCTTTATTGATTTTTTCAAAGTGGGTTTTTTTCCCTTTTTTAAGTAGGAACCTTCCCTTAACCTATAACCTATCCAGCTACTGCCCCAAGTCTTCCCTCTTGACTGCCAAATTTTTTAAAGAAAGTCTTCCTGATGCCTCAGGTTCCTTACCACTCACTCTGTCTTAGTTGGTTTCCTTCTCCATCTCCACGGAAATTAATCTCTCATTGGTCACGTATACCCTCCTTATCACCGAACCCAGTGGTCTTTCTCAGTCAACAATCTTTTTGTTCTCTCTGACATTTAATGCTATTGACACTCTCCTTCATTTCTTATGAATATTTTTTTCTTCACCTTTTGAGACAGCATTCCCAATACTTTTCTGAACCACCCCTTCCTTCTTTGTCTCTTTTGCTGTCTCTTTTTCCTCTTTCCACCTCCTTAAGCTATTTTTTTTCTACAATGATCTGTTCTCAGCTCTCTTCTTTTCTCTCTCTATACTGTCTCCCTTAGAAATCCTCTTTTACTGTCAGACCTTCATACTTTTGCACAAGTGATTTGCATATGTTTATCATGGGCTCAGAAGTCTGTCCTGACTCTGAAGTTACATCTCCAACAAGCTATTAGGGTATTTCTACCTGAATATTTTACTAGGATCTCAAAATCAGAATGTCTAAAGCCAGAGTTATTATCTCCACCTCCTCAAATCTTCTCATGACTTCATGATTTCTGTCCATCAGAATAATATTCAATTTCCCGTGTTAAAAAAAACCTTCAGATTACCTTTGACTCTTCCCTTTTCCCTCATCTCCAACATCCAATCAGTTGCTAAATCCTATCACTTTTACCTCTGTAATATTTCAATTCTTTAAAGTACTGTGTAAGTGCTAGCAGCTGCCCTCAGCCTGGCTTAGACCTTCCTTACCACCTAGTCAACTAAGTCATCTTGCCTCCTTTTTCTTCCTCTTCAATCCTTCCTAATGGAGTCAGGTCAACAATACATCTGGTCATACCACTCCTCTGCTTAAAACCTTTCATTTGTCTACCTTTTATTGTTGTCTACCTTTCATTGTTGTCTACCAAGTAAAATCCTTATCATGGCAGACAAAGTTCTCTATAAGCTGGGGCCACTCTACTTTTCCAAGCTTGTCTCATACTACTCATTTCTATGTAGAGTGAGCTTTTACCAAATTAGATTGCTTGCCACCCCACGCTCCCATAGGTGCTCTGTGCCTTTTTCATTAGTTCCATTTTTCATATCTCTTTCTATGCCCTGAATGCCCTACCCCTAGGAGTGTGTTGAGTTCAACTCTAATATGTTTGAAAAGTTGATTGTTAAATTTTCACCTAGGAAATAAGCAAACAAATTAGGGCTTGATTTATTTTTTGTTGATTGTCTTGACTTAAGAAAGTGATGGATAAATGTTAATAATGTAGATTAAACTTAAAAGTGTGTCCTGGGTATATTTTTTCCCCCAACATACCCCTGATCCTCCCAGGCAGTAATTATCTCTCCCATTATCTTCTATAGTTGTATTACAGTTGTTTGTAATCATGTTTAGTATTACAGTTGTTTGTAATTATCTCATACCTCATTCTAGATCTTAAGCACCTATGCACTGTGCTAAACAGCTTATAAATATTATCTCATTTGAACTTCACAACAACCGTTTGAGGTAGATGCTATTATTATCCTCATTTTTCAGTTCAGCAAACAGACGTTAAGCAACTTGCCCAGGGTCACACAGCTACTAAGTGTCAGAGTCACATTTGAATTCAGGACGTCAGGCCCAGCACTTTAGTCAATGTGCTGTCTAGATGACTCATGAAAATAGTGCTCTGCAAATAGTCTCTTAATAAATAACTAATTAACATTCATATTAAATTAAGGAACACTGATAATTAAAGTTATTTGCTTTTGAGTGTAGAGACCCTATTCCGCATGAAAGAACTTTATAATCACATAAGAAAGTTTGTCCCATAAATCCTGAAAGAACATTGATTCTATTTCAACTGGATTTGTGCATGCTTTCATCCATTTAAGAAGCCATTTGGGAAGAGCTTCCTCCAATAATGCAGACTGGCACCTTCTCTGCATCTCACAGAGTAGCTTGAGGCATAAGAGGGTAAATGACATACCCAGTGAAGTATAGGGCACAGAGGAGACTTGAACTCAGGACTTTCTGCCTCTCTATCCACTATTCTGTACTGTCTTTCACAGCAAAGACTCTAGCAGTTATGAATCAGTGACATTAAATAATAAATCATTTAAAACTTTGTATACAATTCTGTAGGCAAATATGTGTTGTTGGGGTTTTTTGAATGTGTATATGTAACATGAGGCTGGTTTATCAATATTGAGTTAACTAAACACTTCAAAAAACATGCTCTTTAAAGAGACAGATAACTGTTGTGGCATAAACAGACAGTGAGTTGGTTTTTCTGAAAAAACACTAAGTTGTCTATTCCAGGAAAAGTAGTTTTGGAGGAGACTTCTTTCCCACAGTTTTTCCCCTCCACCTAGTTCATTCTCAAGTCTTTGGATATTCTTCATGGAAACCGTCCATGAGCCTCCTCCTATTCCTTGACCTTAGAGTTGTCCTTTTCACTTCATAAAGGTGAAGTGAAATTGGATTTTCAACTGTGCACTAAGATCTGCCAACTGTCAGTCTGCTTTCCTGAAATTATTTTCAAGTGCTCCTCTAGCTGAAAAAAAATGTTGTTTTTCTTAAGGCCTGCCGAGTACCTTCAGAGGAGATTGGAAGCTCAACAGTATAAGCTGAAAGTGGAAAAACAATTGGTAAGAAAAATGCTAAATTTTGGAAGAAAATCAATGCATCTAACTCAGAGATTTTGCTTTCTGTGCCTTTCTGTGCCTTTTACTTGAATGTAATTTCCCAATTTTTTCCCCTTACAACATCAAAGGCAATTCTACTCCATATTCCATCCCCAAGGGATTAAACATCAGATTTTTCACATCTCTCTTGTCATTTATCCATTGAGAAACTGAAACTAGATGTCTCACATGGCACCATAGAATATCATATTTCCACTGATACACTTTCCTTCTATTCACCACTATTAGCAACTTCTAATATCCCTAAATATTGAGTTTAATTCATGATGAGACTCTTTTTTAGAAGGGAAAGAGCTAAGGGAGAATGTTTTTAAAAAGAAAACTATTTTGCTTTATAGATGATGTTATTAATAGGGCCTTTGTTTCATCAGAAAAAAATATTTTAAAAATAACTATTTTTTATTTTATTATTTGTATTTATTATATTTTGATAGGGTCTTCGTCCATCTTCAGCTGAGCCAAATAACCAATTACAAATGAAGGAAAGAAAGGGAGAACAGTCCAAACTCCAGGATCTACAGTCTAAGAAGAATAAAATTAAACAAGAGGTCAGTCAGTCAACAAGCATATATTAAGTGCCAGGCACTGTGCTAAGCTCTGGGGATACAGAGAAAACACAAACATGCTCTCTGCCCTCAAAGAGCTCATATGTCTCCTCATAATGGAGGAGACAATATGCAAATAACTGTACATATGTGGGGATTAAAATTGTCCGACCCATAATAAAAGAGACTGAGGCAGAGCTGTGAGCCAACCGTGCTTTATTAAAGAATCCATGGTCCTTTCTAATGAAGTAGACCTCAGCTCTTCCTCATGAGTTGAAATACCCCACTTCTTCCAGGGCCTTATTTTTATAATGCTTGATACCAGATTTGATACTTGAACACTCTAGAGAGGCTATACAAAGCACCGAATCCCATTGGTTGATTGACCTTGCTTTGTGGGCCAAAAATGACATGTCATCAGGGGAGTCACAGTTTGGATGAAGCATGGGGCATCTCCACTGATTAAGTGGTCATAAGATGGTTGTACTTGTTCTTGCTGGACAAGAGAGAGTGGTCCAGAGGTACAAAAATAACTGGAAGGACTACCCATGTAATTGAGTCGCCTCTGTCACGCTGGGCTTGGTCACCCTAGCAAAGAAAAATATGGGTGGAGGGTCCCTAGTTAGATTCCTATGATTAAGCAAGTGAGCTTACAACCTGCAATTTAGGGGGCTAATATACTGAACTTATAATCACTACCCCATGGAATCCTATCAAACTGATTAGTACTGATTGGAATAGAGTAGGGGTCCAAATGAATTATTTCTCACATATACAGTATAAATGAAGGTTTTAAAAATGCACATACCTTGCAGATCAATAACCATTACCTATATGTCACCATCATTTATTTTATAAGATGATATCAGTGACAGCATTACTTTCCATGTGAATGGAAGAGGCAGCATGGTGTGGTGGTAAGACTATTAGATTTGAATCACAACACCAGGGCCTAAGTCCTAGTTCTTCTGTGAGATTTTGATCCCCTTTGTTGGAGTGTACGAAGTGTTCAAGGTGGACTAGCACATCTAGCGTGAGGGCTGCCAAGCCTTTTTCAGGGCTGCTCTACCACATTTGGTGTCCACCCAGTACTCAACTCTCACCTGTGGCTCCAAGAAGCTACAGCGTGTACAGTGGTCATACCCTGGTAAAACTGCCTCAGCAGATGGGCTAAACCAGGCTGAGGGTAATTGAGGGCCCTCAAATCTGTCAGTGAGTTAGGAGATTGTTTTCCCCAAGCATGTGAAGACTTCCCCCAGCATAATGGGCAGATAAGAACAATCTGTTCCACCAGCCATAAAGGTGGCTGAAGTAGGCACTGTGGAGCACTCAGAGCTTGGTCAGACATGGAAGACACCAAGATCATCTACTGTGTCCTGGGCCATTGCCAGTAATCCTGAATTTTGTCTTGCCACTGACTTCAGTGACTGTGGAAGAGAGAGTGAGGCTGATGACTTTGTGCAACTCTGCCTCCCTTAAATCCAATTCACCATGTGATATCATCTTCTAAAATGAAGGAGAAACAACAGCTCATTTGTTTAAAAAATAAGGATGAAGAAAAAAAAACCCAGAAGAAAAATGATTGTTTTTTGGTCAGATTAATCATGTAAAATTTCACCGAATATTTCACATTTGCCTTTGGCCCTGAAGGATGAGTTGGATTTGTATCCATGGAAAAATGGGGAGGTATTCCAAGAATGCAGGGCAACATGAACAATTACCTGAAAATTGAAAAGCTTAAGGTGTGTTCTGGGAGTGGTGAGTAGACACTGAGTTATGTTAAGAACCACTTTTACCTTGGTTTCTATATTGATCTGCTCATACCGTCAGAAATAGTTCACCAAAGAGACCAATGAATTCAGCATTGCCATAAGAGGCCATCCAGGTCACAGGCTTGGCCCTGTATGGACTTCTTCTATAAGCTGACTAACCCAGATAAGAAATGTACAATATGGGGCAACAAGCTGTGTATAGTAAAAGCCACAAGTGAGCTATGGAGGCACCATCTTGAGGGAATGTGGCAATGGATCATATTTCTGTACCAACTCCAGGAGCCTTGAGTGTCTTCAAACCCTGAACTATATCCTGAAGCCTTTCCCACCCCTAGTGATTGTAGATTGGTAAGAGGAATACAGAACTCAGGAGATGCTAGACTCTTGGAGGTCACATGAGAAGAATGGCAACAGCATCTTGAGGGAATGTGACAATGCATCCTATTTCACAGCACCTACAGGAGGCTTGAGTACTTTCATACCCTGAACTATAACTACTGAAGCCTTTCCCACCCCTTGCTGATTGTAGATGAGTGAGAGGAATACCCAGCCCCAGAGATGCTGGACTCATGGATGACACTCGTGATGTCGTCGATTTAAGCTAGAAGGGGAGTTGGAAACCATTGAGTCTGATCACCTCATTTTATAGATGAGGAAACTGATGCTGGAAAGTTATAAGTGACTTAGCCAGGTATACAATCTAATCAATGTCTGAGATGAGACAGAGTTTGTGAAACTTTTTAACTCCTCAAAGCATATGTGAAAGTAAACAGCTATAATTAAGGTAGCATGAATGGCAGGCCTCTGTATTAAGCCTGCTGTTTTTGCACATTTGCCTTTTTGGAGTCTCAAAGGTTACATATAGTTGTTCAAATAATGATGTTGTTGTGCTAGGAAAAAACTGAATTCATCACAAGTTTAGTTGTATAATACAAAAATCATAGAACTATCATAGATAAAGTATAAGACAACAGCTAGTTAAGAGTTCAGTCCCATAGAGCTGTGGTCTCCAGAGAGGAATCTAAGACCTACTGAGAGGCTTTGGTATGACCCCAAGGGGTATATCATCAACCAGTGGGAGAGTGGGAAAATGACTTGCATCCCACCTTCTCTTCAATAGCCAATAGTGTGACTTCTCTCCAACAGCCATACCCACACCCAGCAACACTCCCCTACTTCAGTACCTCCTGGGCTGTTCAAGCTCCCAGCTTTCCCTCTATTGTACTGATTATTGTCCCTTAGAGGACTAATAACCTAACTTCAATCTGGACACCAACTGCAGCAGCTACATAGGTCCCATGGGGAAAAAGCCCCCACCTTCCTGGCATATACCATATAACACACTGCACTGCCTTCCATATCACTGGCTGTCTGCCCATCCTCTTCTCCCCTTTTTGTTTTGTGTGACAGAGTGAGTAGCACGGCTGAGCAGGCATTGATGGGTTGCAATCTATATCATGACCTCATTTTATTATTTTTTCCACCAACCTGTCTTCTCTACTGAACTTCCACATTTCTGTTGCGGGTACCACTGTGCGTTCATTCACCCAGGTGTACGATCTCAGCATCATCCTTACTTCCTCATTTTCACTCTCCTCACATATCCAAGCAGCTGCCTAATCTTTTTGTTTCTAACTCCACATTTCTTGCATGTGCTCCCTTTTTTCTACTCACTCAGACACTACCCAGGTTCAGTACCTCATCTCCTCTCACCGAGACTATTAGCAGTGGTCACCTTGCCTTTAGTCTCTCCCCAATCCAATCCATCCTTCAAACACCTGCTAAAATGATTTTCCTAAAATATATGTCTGACCAGGTCACTCCTCTACTCAAGAAACTCCTGGGCTCCCTTTTGCCACAAGGATCAAATATAAGTTCCTCTGTTTGGTGTACAGAGGCCTTACCAACCTAACGCCAGCCTACCTTTCTAGCTTTATTACTTCACCCCTTGCATTTTGTGGTCCAATCAAATTGGCCTTCTAGATGTTCCTTGTATCTCATACAAAAACACAGCTAAGATATCCATAAGCAAATTGAAATTAAAGTATGATGCCTTCTATTAAGGAGAGTTGTGTGAAGAAAGAAAGATCAGATTTATGTTGAAAGCTTCTACTGAGTTGAAATCAGAGACAGTTCACTTTTTAAAAATTGTTTTTGCCTGGTTTATGGTCAATATATATATACAGAGAAACATGACTCCTGCTGAAGAGCTGTTATGGTCACTAACCATTATGACCTATTATTTCTTTGTTGGGTATCTTTTAATAAAAAGTTTGAAAAAAAAAGGAAGAAAGAAGCAAAGAAAAATTCACTGGCTTGGCTAGCTACAGGCCAAGTGAACAGCACACTGGGCCCAGAGCCAGGACTGACCTGTGTTTAAATTCTGCCTCAGGTACTTACTACATTGTATGACCCTGGGCAAGTCACTTAACCTGTCTGCCTCAGCTTCCTAATTTGAGAAATGGGGATAATAATAGCATCTACCTCCCAGGGTTGTTGTGAGGATAAAATGTAAAATTGTATAGTGCCATGCAAGCTTTAAAACTCTACATAAATGCTAGCTATTATCAAAGTAACTGAATAATTTCTAACAACTATTATTTACTTCTGTCCTATGCTCCAGGTCATATATAGCATATTCAATCATATTGCTCCTAAGAATAAAAGGGGGTTTTGTACCATTAATAACATTTAAAACATATTGTTTATTTTATCTTTTCTCCGTCCTTTTTAATTCCTATTTTTGTAGATGACATGTTAACATAATAGTGCATATAATTTATAAATGCATGTAACAAATATTCTCCAGTCCTTCTCTTCCAGAGGCAGGCTGCCTACATCTACCTTTCATGGTTCTAAGGTACACTGAGGGGTTGGGTGGGTATCTCATTTCTCAGCCATCAGCTCTGTGCTGTACTGGCTTTGTTTCCTCTCACTGTTAGGTACCAACAATTAACACCTCAGTTCCATTTAACCACTTAACACCAATTAGCTTTTACAAAGGAATATTTATCTTAAAGAAATAAGAAAGAACAAAAGTACAAACATTTCCCCCTGCTACTTCAGGGGCAGACCCTCTAAGACCCTCTAAATTAAGAACAAACCCACTCTGCCCAGAAACTAAGGTGATATGATCACCTTAGTTTCTGGGCAGAGTGGGTTTGTTCTTAATTTAATTTAGTTTCAACGTAACACTGATCCCACCAAGCTCATACAGAATGCACCATGAGTGCCAGCTGAGTCCTTGTCTCAGGTACTGCTGGGCTGGGTCTTGAAGGTCATTCCTGAAGGTCACCCCTTGTTTTTAAAGGCATTGATGCCAAGCTGGCTGTAAAACCTGCATGTTGGAACACTCACTTTCCTGACTGTTCAAAACTCCCATGGTTGGAGTCCCCATTTCCTTCCTAGAGGGAAAGGAACAAATGCAAAGGCCAAGGGCAGGACTGTTTTACATGGCCACATTTTGGCCCCACTGGGGAGAAGACCCAATACTGCTCCTCTTACAGCATTGTCTCATTCGACACCAGCAGAGGAGCCAAACCAAGAGAAGAGCAACAAAACAGAATGGCTTGACGAGAATGGCCGAGGTTGACTACAGCTCTTTCAGAGATACCTGCAATTCCAACTACCCAGACAATCAGAAAAGGCTTCTCTTTATCATGTGGTTAGCAGACCAGAATCAATTCCAAATGACCCACAGTCGCTCCAAGGCATTTACATTCCATTTCATCATATTCTTTTGGAAGCAGGGGCTTCAGTTTCTCCGCAGAAAGAGACACAATCAGAGGCACCATGGGCACGCAGTAGATTCCTGTTAAAAATAAGTTTACATATACTGGGGTCATGTGCTCCAAAGTGTTTTACTGACGGGGATAGGCATTCAAAAAAGTTTGAGAACACTGATGTAGAGCACCAGGCTTCTCGAATTTCATCTAATGCAAGTCAGTTGTGTGTGTGTGTTTTAAATTTTTTGTGTATTCAAATGGTACTCATCTTCTCAGATGAATCTGGAATCTCATTGATTGTAGAGTCCCTCAAGGATGCAAATTTCAACCAATTTGTACCTGTCCATTCTGTCTGACTCTTCTTTTTTCTATCCATGCCTCCCATAGGTTCACCATGAGGTTCCATTCAATGTGTTAGAGGTCTTCCTCACTTTCTCCTGACGTTGTGACAGTGCCAGTAGAGCATATGGGCTGGTCACTTGTCATTCCTCATCCTTGCCACACAACCAGCCAACCTTCCCTTCCTAACATTTCCTGGATGGTGTCTTTTATTCCTGTTCTTTGATGTTCTTCATTGGTTGTATGTTGCAACTTGTCACCCTTCTCTCATGTGCTTCTCCATGGCCTTTGTGTAATACTCATTCTTAATTCTTCAAAGATAATTGTATTCCGAGCCTCATTGCCATATAGCAAAAGAGAGGGAGAGTTGGTGCATGATTTTTTGTTCACAAATGATTGTGCACTCAATGCAGCCTCTGAGGCTGAGATGCAATAGAGTATGGATTAATTCTCTGTCACTTGTGCTAATTTTGGCCTGACAACGAACACCAAGAAAACAGAAGTTCCACAGAACCATTGGTTATAACAAATGGAGAACTTTTGAATGCTGTCACTCACCTTGGCAGTATACTTTCCAGGGATGTCCAGCTAGATGAGATGACGAGGTTGACAAACACATTGCCAAAGCTAGCTCAGTGTTTGGGAGGCTCTGAAGGAAAGTGTGGGAGAGAATAGGTATTGGTCTGGTACCAGACTGAAGATCTACAGAGACGTTGTGCCAACATCATTGTTGTACGCCTGTGAAACTTGGATGGTATGCCAGCGCTGTGGCAGAAAATTGAACCACTTCCATCTGCATTGTCCTAGGAAGATTCTGAAGATCACTTGGCAAGATCAGGCGTCAGACACTGAGGATATCTCTTGAGTTGAGCTGTCAAGCATTCAAACTCTACTGAAGAAAGTATAACCTCAAAGGACTGGCCATGTAGACAGAATGCCAAATGCACATTTGCCTAAAAGACTATTTATGGAGAACCCACACAAGGCAAGTGCTCATACAGGGGTCAAAGAAGTGGTACAAGGACACTCTCAGGTTCTCTCTGAAAAACTTTAGTATTGATTGTGAAATATGGGAGGTGCTGGCGTAAGACTGCCTAGTATAATGTGTTGTATCAAAGAAGGTGCTGTGCTCTATGAGCAAAGCAGAATTGCAGTAGCACAAAGGAAACACAAGATGTGCAAATCTAGAGACATCTCTATCCCAAGTGTTCGAATGGACAATTTGTGCCTGACCTGTGGTAGAACCTTCTGAGCCCATATTGGAGTGATCAGCCACAGTCAAACATACTGTACCTTGACCCCAACATTGTGATATCATTGGTCTTCCTCTAGTATGAAGGATGAATGACAACAGCTATATAGCAGCACCACTAGAATATTGGTAGTAAAAAAAAAAAAGACCTTTGTTTCCATGGAAACCTTGAGGTAATTAACAAATCTTTGCAATTTCCTGAAGGCAATCCAGCCCGATCTCTTCTTCCTGTTCAACTTAGACCTCAGTTTATTATTTAGCTCCTGCTATCTGTCCCAGGCATACATACTGATGGATGAGTTTTATAGGTTGTGCATTCAAATTCATCTCTTAATCTAGGCCGTAGACGTTCTTTATTCACTTGGTCTTTCCTTTCAAGAGGGTCTGGAATGTTCTAAGACTTGATATGACCAGAACAAAGGAACCTGTAAATAAGAACATCTGGAGGATCTCACCATCCACGAAGAATCTGCTTTAACTTGGGTTCCGTACTAAATCTTCTCCATCAGTAGTGAACACCACTGGCGAATATATATCTCCCTGCTTTGTGTCTCACCTCTTATTTATTATCATCAGAGAGTTGTTAAACAGGTTTATTTCTGAGAAAATAGCAACAACTCCTGACCCATATGCTTACTCTCCTACCTATACAAAACTTTTATGTCATACATAAAGGATGTCTTTGATAAGAGTATTATGGGGAACAAGTAGACTTTTGTATTGGCTAGTCAATGGTACCACATCTTTACCATTTCACACTTGACAAAAAGATGTAGAGAATATTAGATCCCATTGTATCTGTTGTTTGCTGAGTATGAAAAAGTATATGATTTGGTAGAACAAAACATTGCCTTGAAGGCTCTTTTCCAATAATGTGTCTCCCATCCATCTATCAAAATCTTTCCAGGTTCCTTAAATGATATAATAACTTTTGGTGATGTTTAGATTATTTTTGCTAGGTTGTTCACATTAATAACATTCATTTTGCTTAATAGGAATATCGGAAACAGTTAGAGGAAATACGCCAGCAGTACCACAATGACATGAAAGCTATTAGAAGGAAGGTTGGAAGAGGACTTGAGGTAAAAAAAAAAAAGAAAAAAAATCAATTTCTCCCAAAGTGATCATTATTTTTTTCATTTAGAATAAATACATACACTGAATAGCTATCAAAATTAATTATTTCTTTAAAGAAAATGGGGATAAGATTCCCAACAGGAATAGTAATATAACATTTCTTTAGAGAGAAAAACTCTTAATGCACTGAAATTCTCTCAGATAATTGGGGAATACAGCAAAATCACTGTTGATTATAATCATCAGTTGGTCTAAAAAAGTTTATCTTGAGAGCCTACACACTGCATGGTAGAGTGAAAAGATAGACCTAGTTTTGACACTCACCTATGACATTAAATAACTGTGTGACCATGGATAAATAAATGCTTGCTGATTGAATGATCTGTAAAATGGGAATAATACTTGCATTACCATCTACCTCATTATGTTGTGAGTAAAGAACTATGTCAACATTAAGGTCCTATATAAATATAAGCTATGACTAGTAGGCCCTTTTTGGTATTCTGACTTTTATCAGGGAACTTACTGAATTTTTACAGTCTGGATTCAGAATTAATCATGAATGTTTTGTGTTAAAGGAGGATTCAAATGTAAATCACAAGACTTATGTCGTGAAGCAGAAAAACACATATGCTCACCAGGATGAACCTAAGGAGGTAGGAGAACCAGTACAGGTACTGATGTCTGTGAATTGAGTTTTATTGTAAAGTTCCCATGAAGATTTCCTCTTAATATACAAGATCAGCTCCTTGAAAGTTATATGTTAGTTTCTTAGCTACATAAAACCAGTCATTGAGATCTTATAGTAAGGAAACCAACTATTTAATATATTGCATTTTTTATGAGTGGAAATCTCAGTTGCCCCCAGAGGGACACCTCTCACAATGCCTTGTATACCATGGGTGCTTAAAAAGATTGCATTAAATTCATTTGAATTATGTTCCTTTATTATATAATACTTATTTGTATACACATTTCCTCCCTTCTTCCATTTGATCATAAGCTTCTCAAAAACAGGCAAAGTGTCATATTTGTCTTTCTACCCCAGTGCATTACACAGTACCCTGCCCATAGTAGATGCCTAATAAATGTTTTAATGTTTTTATTTGAACTGAAATGAATTAGGACTTATTTTCAGAAATACATTTTAAAACGATCAGGTTTTGGTCACACGTCTCTCTGTCTCTCAATTTTCCCTTGACATAATTTTCTAGTTATGTATTTCTAGTTATATATATATGGTATTTTTCAGGATCTATCCTCTAGGACTTGATCTTGCCAAGCAGAGAGATATGGTTGCCAAACACAACATAAGATTAGACTATAAACTCACTTATAAAATGTTATGGGAAAAAATTGCTGGAAGTTTATAAACAGTATCACCTCATAAAATAATGACAACCAGTGGAGGGAAAAACAAAGTTGTAGAAGGCTTGGCTAGAGGCATAACTAAACAAAATCATCATGGAGGCATTATAAAGGAAACTGGAAGGAGGATATCACATGGAAGAAAAAGGAAAATGATCTGTAAGGATTTTGAAAACAAATCCATTTCTCCATTAATGAAAGTGGAGCCACCCATCACACTTGGACTCCAAAGGCTCTAGTGTGCTGCCTTAGAGTTTGATGGAATTTAGGAAAACAAATATGGGAAAAGCTGATGGATTAACCAAGTATAATGAGTGAAACTCTGTGCTGGAGGCAGTGCAATTTTGAGGGTGTTAAAAGTTTGATTTTCAAGGTATCTGAAAAAATAGAGGGATCCCAAAGGCTTTGGTGAGGAAGAGAGAAAACTTGGACCTTATTGTTACTTTTTTTAAAAGACTACCAGGACAAGTTTTAGTAACTACCAAACCATATGTCTATGTTTCCATCTCTGTAAAATCTTTATTAAAATAATGTACACAAGTATCAAAGGAATTGTGATGAAGGTATGTGTGAGAAGAGAAGGGACAAGCAAATGTTATTCTTCAACAGGTCACATCTTCACAGTCACACAATTAAATGAGAGGTAGGGAGGGAGGAAATAAGATCTTGCTGAGCTTATAATTTGCGTGTTGATTTGGCAGAATAAAATGTTTCCAAAGGCTGCACCGTTGGGCGTTTCCCATGTGTATTTTTAAATCTACTAGATTATTTTTATAAAGATTTTATGGAAATGGGAAAGTAGAGCAATCTCAGCTATGTCTTACAAGAAGTATTGTATGATTTAAAAATATGCATAAGAGACATGAACAGGAGGGCCTCCAGAGACATTTTGTTCTGCCAAATCAAAGGCTTGTTTTATACTTGACAAGTAATAAGCACAGCGAGATTTTGTTTTCTCCTCAACTTTCAATCAGTTTTGTGACTGTGAAGATGTGACCTGTTAGAGAGTATCATCAGTGAAAGCCTGTTGCTTTGCCTCTCACACATACCTTCATCTAGGTGCCTTCGGTGCACGTGTGTAGACTAACAACCCTTTGAGGCAAAAAACAAGGAGATTCATGCTTGCCAAAGCTGGGGCCACTATAATGGAGGATTTCTAGTGCCTGGCAGAAAAAGGGAAAAGGAATTTCCTAAGGATGGTGAAGTCCTCCAGTTGCTTCTGTTTGCAAATAACGGGCCAATTGCATTGAGCCTTGGAACACTGCAGATCTCTGTGCGATCCATCATCGCTTTGAACTGTTTGACCACACAGAAAGAAATATGTGGATGAAGAATGCCTATTGTTCAGGCATGGGGGACCTGCAATCTTGAGGCAACATGTGGCGCTCTAGGTCCTCAAGTGCGGCCCTTTGACTGAATACAAATTTCGTAGAACATTCTGTTTGGATTCAGTCAAAGGGCCACAATTGAGGACCTAGAGGGCCATATGTGGCCTCAAGACTGCAGGTTTCCCACCCCTGCTAGATTTTTAAGAGGCAGCTAGGTGGCACAGTGGATACAGTGCTGGGTCTGGAGTCTGAAAGACCTGAGTTTAAATTTGGCCTCAGATATTTGCTAGCTATGTGATACTGACCAAGTCACCTAACTTTTGTTTGCCTCAGTTTCTTCAACTGTAAAAAATGGGGATGAGTTGTTGTGAGGATCAAATGAGATAGTATTTGTTAAGTGTGGAGTGTAGTACCTGGAACATAGTAGGCATTTAAATGCCTGTTTCCTTCCTTTGTGTGTAGCTGGCTGTACAATCTATGGAAGTAGTCCATCAGTACCTGTATCATGGGTAGACACTGCTGAGAAGCAAAGAACTGAGTCCTACAGTGAACTGAAAGAAGAGAAAAGGATGGATTGCATTTATGAAATTATTCATTGTTTATAATGACCCCGTGCTTCTCTCTGAAACAAAGGCTTATCTTTCTAACAGTACTTTCTAACTCCAGTGATGTTAAATTGTATCAAGCTTGTAGTTCCAGGAGTCTCTGAAGAATTAAAGTTGCAGGTTACCCAAAGGGCAATGAAAGGAGGATATGGGTATATGAGCTGGCTATGACATAGAATATTGAAGGATTGAATAGGAAGAGTGCTGTCATGGATGTCATCAGAGAGAGATCTGTGACTGGAAAAGGAGATGGATTGCTTGTGTAGTAAGGTTGAAGGATAACTGATAGGCAGAGTCTGTGTCCTATTGGCGTCCATGCAACATCAGGATGTCTAGATGGAGGTCTCCAGAATACTGGATGACCTTCTTATAGAAGATTTAGAGCAAGGAGGGCATGGACAAGAGTTGCCATGATGAGTTGCAAAGTGGACCATTGAATAGAGTGTTAATATTGATGAGATCATAGATCCAAGGAAGCAATGAAATATTTCCCAATATCTTGTATATAGAACATCTTAAAAAGAGCCATAATCACTCAAAAGAATTTGACCTAATGATCCACACAGGAGAAAACAAATGGATGAAAAATCCCTCTCCTCTATACTATGATAGGCAATCATATACATAGCCAACCAAGCTGGTTTATCAACGTGTTTATCTTGGACAAAGGCAACAGGCTGGACAATATGTTAGGTTCAGGACTAAACTGGATGAGGGAGAAAGGGTTGATTTGAATCTGATAAACTGAGCAGCAGGTGAGGTGTCCTGAAGCTGCTTCCTGTTAAAGGGTCCCCTGACTTTGTCTTTTTTTAATTTTTTTTTATTTTTAGGCCATTGGAGTTAAGTGACTTGCCCAGGGTCACACAGCTAGTAAGTGTCAAGTGTTTGGTCTGAGGCCAGATTTGAACTCAGGTCCTTCTGACTTCAGGGCTGATGCTCTATCCACTGTGCCACCTAGCTGCCCCTCGACCTTGTCTTTTTGATCCTGAAACAAAAATCCATGTTTTTAAACTAGCAATTACTCTAATCATTTCTGAAGTCCTACTCTAATGCCTCATTATGGTGTGGAGGTGATGCTAGGTTTTTGAAAGCTGTGGCAGCAGGATGGAAATTCAAGCAGGTTCAACCATACTCAAAAGGATTTGAGTATTGCACTGGAAACAGACTGACTTGACTTTTCTGAGAACTAGCATAGCTAAACCAGAGAAGGCTCATCACTAGTAGGCTAGCTGTTTGGTGATGAATTCACTGGACATGGCAAACATGCAGAAGAAAAATACTAAAAACTACTAAAATGGCCTTCACTCCTGTGTAGCCCTCTTTTATTTCTGCAGTGAGATTGCAGGGTAGCAGAAAAGGGGCAGAGACCTCTCTGTAATCAATCACATAGTTTTTAGATCATCTACAAACTTTTAACTTTCCTACTAGAACTTCAAAGGTGAGATCCTTATGTAATCACCATGGAGCTTAGTAAATACTTTTGAATGAATGAATGAGTGAACATACTACTGAAGGAACTCAACTGTCAATCTTGACACTCTTGTTGAAAACAAAACCAGAAGAGAAAAAAGGTGCAGCTCAGTGGAGGGATAGCTCACAAGGCATCCTTGGAGAGGCAAGTAAAGGAATTGATGGAGTGGACATTGGAAACACCATACTTGGATTCTGACATCACAGTGCCAAATGTGCTGATAGAGGAGGTAGGCATAGCATGGAGAGCAGAGATAGGAAATGCAGCTGGATTAGGTCAATAGACCTGTACTGGAAGCCACACAGTTGTAATGGTGCTGAAGGAATGGTTAACATGATAGTTGAGGTAGGGCAAGATACAAATTGCATGGGGAAAAATCCAATACTTTATTAATACTGAAGAAAAATGGAGACTTATTAAAATTCCAATAACTATTGGCCTTTATAATGACTTTCCCACCTGTATACAATTTTATGAGGATTGTTTACACTCACATCCAAGGCATTATCCATGAGGGTATTAGCGGGGAATATGCAGGCTTTTGCAAGCGGTATTTCACAGTAGACCACGTCTTTACAATTACATAATTGACTAAAAATTCAGAGGATACAGAATCCCACTGTGGTTTTTGTTGATCATAAATAGCATTTATTTGGTAGAGCAAAATGCTACCTTAAAGTTCCCTTTCAACAAGAGAGTTGGAAGTACACCAATGTATACATCAAAATTACTCAAGATTCCTTCAAAGACACAATAGCAGAGATAAACTTGTTCACCATATCTCTGATCATTAATATTAGGTGAGGCATAAAACAGGGAGACAAATATGTGCCAAAAGTATTTACCACTGTCCTTGAGGAAATCCAGTGTAGTGTCTGTATTGAAGGATTCCCTTTAGATGGTGAGGTACTCTAGTTGTTTCTGTCTGTGGAAGACATTTGATATAATTGCAATTACATCAAGCCATGGAACACTGCAGAGCCTTCTGGATGAGATCTATAACCGCTTAAAAGAAATTGGTCTAACCATCCACACTGAAAAAAAGAAGTGGATGAAAAATGCCTGTTGTCTAGACATTGACATGCTGTTAAATGAACATCATGCAGAGCTTTCCCATTGATGTATATATGTTTGTCACATATATGTATATGCATACATGTGTGTATATGTATATACATGCATGTATGTGTATACACATATACAGATGCTGCAGCTGAGAAATTCTTTGGGTCTAGAATCAAATAGGAAAAGGAGAACAGACTGGATAACCTACTATGTGCTAGGAGGCAGCTAGGTGGCTCAGAGTACTGGGCTTGGAGTCAGGAAGACCTGAATCTAAATCTGGCCTCTGACACTTACTAGCTTTGTGATGCTGGGCAAGTCACTTAACTATTGTTTGTCTTAATCCACTGGAGAAGGAAATGGCAAACCACTCTAGTATCTTTGCCAAGAAAATCCTGTACAGTCATGAAGAGTCAGATGTGACTGAGCGACTAAATAGCACGTGCCAGGCTCCGTTCTAAGTGCGTGCTTTAAAAATATCTCATTTGATTGTCACAGATCCATTTGAGAATTTTAATATTCTTCCAATGATCTTTCATAGGTGCAAATGATAGAATATCACATCCTCCATCACATCCAGAGGTGTGTGCGGGGCATAAACAGGCTGAAGAATGTTACCACTATCACTCAGACACAAGACATGTTGAAAAAGATAATCATCCTAGAGTTGTTTGACCAAAAAAAGAGGGGCTATGCTGGTCAGGTAGTGAGAGAGAAGTGTTGCTTAGAGATATACAAAAAGCATTAGAAGAAGACCACCTGACCATTGGCTAGACTCCCTGTGAAGGATTTATGGGAAGATATATTTAGGAATCCTGTACCAGCAGTGTCAATCTCAAACAGAAACCAGGGTCACTAAACACATAAAGATCTCTGTGGTGACATATTGATTTCTATTATTGTTCAGTCATTTTTAAATCATGTGAGACTCTTCATGACTCCATTTGGGGTTTTCTTGGCAAAGATACTGGAAGGGTTTGCCATTTCCTTCTCCAGCTTATTTTACAGATGAGGAAACTGAGACAAAGAGAGTTAAGTGACTTGCCCAGAGTCACACAACTAATAAGTGTCTGAAACTGAATTTGAACTCAGGAAGATGAATCTTCTTGACTCCAGGCCCAGCCCACTATCTATTGAGCCACCTTGCTGCCCCAGAGGGTTTAAATATTGTCTATAAAATCATAGATCCATTGAAGTTTTCAAGAAACCTCTCCTAGTAACCCAGAATTAACTGAACTCAATGCAGAAATTGGCTCAGGTGATTCTTGAGGGAAAGAAGGAAAAAGGAAATTAGTTTTATACAATAGTGTGGGTATTATGTTTAATGCATTAGTGTGTATATTTGTAAAGAGAATTGTATTTTAAATACACCAAGAAAGCTTTCTTTTTAACTGAACCCTCCAGTGAATGTTTTGTGAAGAAAAGAATCATGCCCTATATTTCTGTTTTATAAATTCTCATTTTCATTTATTGCTTTCATTAAACTGTGCCACATCTATATAATGGAAAGCTTTTTAAAAGACAAGGGATTAGCAGTATCAGATTACAGACCTTTGTACAGGAAAAGCTAGAGTGGCTTATTCATGGTTCTGCATGAAGTCCCCAAACAGAGTAACAGATGTTGACAGCACTTAGAGGCACAAATGGGCAATAAATCACTTTCAAGAGACACTGTTTGCAAGGGGATTGACAATTGGATTCAGTCTGAAAGCCAGTTCATTTTAGAAGTGCGTTATAGTTTTAGGGCTTGTGTGTATACAATCGGCTTTTAAAATCCTCTTATTTTCTCTGCCCTTTCAGGACATTGAAAGAAAATTGGAACAAATTAGGCTGCAGAGCAAACAGGAAAGAAAAATGCTGGAACAGAAATACAAGGTTAAGGTAATTGGCATTATCTTTTTTTGACCCTGGGCCTCCATCTTTACGGCTTGGTTTACTTACAGGTTTGTTTAACCATGTTATTATGGAGTCATCTCAGAGTTTGAAAGTACCTCTGAACTGTTCTCTCTCAAAGAGAATTGCCCTCCAGTGGTGGGGAACCTGCAGCCTTAAGGCCACATATGGCCTTCTAGGTCCTTGGGTACAGCCTTTTGACTGAGTCCAAGCTTTACAGAATAAATCCTTTTATTAAGGGGATCTGTTCTGTGAAGTTTGGATTCAGTCAAAGGACCACACTTGAGGACCTAGATGGCCACATATAGCCATGAGGCCACAGGTTCCCCACCCCTAGAACCATCTAGGGAATTTCAATGGAATATTAAAAAATAAAGAGATTTTTAAATTTTTTTTTAATTTTAGGGAGGAGTAAAGTTTGAAATAAATCTGAACAAATGTATTATTGATGAAAACAACAAGCAAGGGGAGGAGGTATGGCTTTAATTATTATGCATTTCTGTTTTGCATCTGTTAATCTTTTTTTTTTAATTTTTAGGCAATTGGGGTTAAGTCACTTGCCCAGGGTCACACAGATAGTAGGAGAACACTGTGCACAGTAACACTAACATTGTGCCAGGATTGACTATGATAGACTTAGGTCTTCTCAGCAATTCAGTGATCCAAGACAATTCCAAAAGACTCATGATGGAAAGTGCTATCCACATCCAGAGAAAGAACTGTGGAGTCTGAATGCAGATTGAAGCGTACTATTTTTCTTTTTCTTTATTTTTCCATGATTTTTTCCCTTTTGCAAACTGTTTCTTCTTTCACAACATGACTAATATGGAAATAGTTTTTTTTTAAATGATTATACCAAATTATTTGGGGATCCCGTCAAATTCTGGGATTCTGCAACAGAAATATCACCTCTTATCCCAAACAGATTCAGTCATCACTTGATGACCTAGAAGGCCACATTTGGCCTCAAGGCAGCAGTTGCCCACCTCTGTCCTGGGTAAATAAATGGATAAATAATATAAACTGAAAAGAACAGTTTTTATGTCATCCAATTCAACAGATATTTATTTTTTCCATGTGTCTTCCATATAAGGGACTATGCTAGGTGTGAGGAATAAAAAAGCAAAAACAGAATGGTCCTGTCTTCAAGGAAATTACATTTCACTGAAGAGATTAACATGAATACTCATATGTATAACATAGGGTAGAGAAGGAAGGGGGAAAAGGAGAAAATCCAATAAAGAAATCTAGGAACATGTGAGGAGGGAGAAACTACTAATAGCTAGAGGGATCAGGAAAGACTTCACAAAACAAAGTTTCTGAAGAGAACCTTTAAGGAAAGTAAGTGACCTGAAACTGAGATGTGAAGGAAGTGCATTCCAGGTCTGGGAGATGGCTAGTGGAAATGCAGAGAGATAAGAGGCAATGTGTTAAATTCAGAGATGATCTGTTGAGGGGAAAAATGTAAAACAAAGCTAAAGAGGTTAATTGGAACCAGATTCCGGGTGGTCATAATTGCTAGTCTAAGGAGTTTGTATTTTATCCTAGGAGCAATGAAAGCCACTTAAGATTTTTGAGTAGGGGATTGTTATGTTCAGCTATCTGCCTTTGGCAATTGGATTAGAGGAGGGATTGGGGTGTTATAGGGATATCAGTTAGTAGACTATTATAACAGTCCAGGTGAGAGATGAAGAGGGCCTGCACTAGGGTAGTAGCCACGTGAGTGGAGAGAAGGGAATGAATACAAGAAATATTAATACAGACCTAAATAGGAGGACTTGTCAATTGATGAAGGCTGTTTAGGAGACCACTTACCACAACTACTAACAAGCAGCAAATACCTTAGCATTCCCTAGTTTAATCTTAGGATGGGAAATTTAAGTATTTCTATTTTGACTTATGAGCTATGGGATGCTGACCAGGCTGCTCAGACTCTCTGGCCTTTGAGGTTCTCGTTTGTAAATTGTAGATAATAACACATGACAAGCTTTATAAGATTGTTGTTGAGGAAAACACTTTATAAACCATAACACCTTCTATAAATGTGAGTTTTGATAATTATTCATTGTGAACCTTCAGTAAGTATTTACCATTGCTTATACCACTGCAGCCCTCCTAATTAGTCACCCTTGCCTCAAGTCTCTCCTCTCTCCAGTCCTTCTTCCATGTAGCTGAAGAAGAGATATTCTTAACACCCAGGTCCAACCTATCACTCCTCAGCTTAGTAAATTCCAGTGGTCCTCCATTACCTCTAACATCAGATGTTACCTGGCCCCAACCTCCCTTTCCAAGTTTTTTATTTGCTATTTCTTTCTACCCTCCTTGGGATACCTTGCTGTTCCTTAGACAGGGAACTCCCTCTCATGTCTCCTGGCCTTTGTACTGGAGCCCCCATGCCTAGCATGCCATCCCTCCTCACTGCCACCCCTTAGAAATTTCCTAGTTGCCTTCAAAGCTCAGCTCAAACTTTACTTTCCTCATAAATCCTCATTACTCCCCCAGTTGCTAATGATTTGCTCTGTAAAAATATCTATCTATCTGAGTTTATTTTATTATACTTTGTACATACATATATACATACTGTGAACCATTTTTGAGCCCCTCATCACCTGAGAAAGGCCTAAAACCTGGATTGGCCAAATAGGAGAGACATTTTGGCCCACTCTGAGCTTAACCTACCATAATGCTTTGCATGCTCTGACATAACAGACATGCTTTGCTTTGCTCTCTGAGTGAACTCAAAATGCTCCTTCCTGTATCAGCAACTAGGAGGCAGATGAAACTGATCAGGAGCATTCTTCTGTTCATGACTGTCCAGGGTAGGATGCCTTGAACCAGACACTATCTTGAATAATGGGACTTTTTCTTTATCTTGGTATTTTATGGACACATGTTATGCCATGCTTATATATATATGTATGTATATATACACACACATATCGTCATGTTAATAACAAAAGAAACATAGACATCCTGGATCTATAATTTCAATTGATACCTTGACATTCTCTTATCTTATTGTATTCACAATCTATCCAATTAAGAAACTAGTTTCTCATATTATAGTTAATACATACGGAGATTATAATTTTGGCTGACATAGGCATCCTGAGCGAGGAAGGGAGGGAGGGGTGAGAGGAAATTACTCTGAAGATATAAGGTCCCCTTTGTCTATCTGTCCTTTGGCTCATTTTCTACAATGAACTCCCATGCATATCTCTATACGCATATTCTGCTAGCTTTGAGAGAAATAAACATGTACATGCAGCCTCATTTTGTTTGTCTTTCTTAGAATAAACTCAGAAATGGTTGACAATACACACATACATACATACACACATGTGTGTATATATATGTGTGTATGTGTATATGTGTGTGTGTACATGTGTATATATACATACACATGTACACACACACACACACACACACACATATATATATGTATTCTCCCCGTTAGACTTTAAACTTATCTAAGGGAAATTCTATTTCATTTTTGTCTCTCTTGTCTCTAATTGTTTTAGCACAGTGTCTGGCACATAGTAAGCATTTAATTAATGCTTATTGACTGATTGATACTTACTGTGTGCCTATTATACCTAGTGATATGATGGGGAATTCACAAATATTTTTCTGAATATTTGTTCTGTTTCTCATTAAACACTGGTTTTCTTTCAGGAAATAGATGTCCTGAATGAAACTTTGCCTTTTGAGGATGGTATGAAACTTAAGGAAAAGCAGCTTATGAATGAACACGAAGATGAGACAGACCAAGCTTTGGAAAAAATATATTGTCCAGAAGCAGGTATTTTTTTTTTT